CAGCCGGGAGCCAAGGATAGCTCAGCGGATCCAGAGGAAACTGTAGCGATGGCGCTGGAGTGCATTTCACATGGGATTCATTCAGTGCAAACTCAAACGCACTCGTCTCTCTGTCTCCATTTTTTTTAGCCATGAAATATTTTTCTTTGGGCTCCCGCCTGCCAGGCGCACCGAGCCAAGCTCCGCGCTCGGCTGTTTGAAGAGGGAGGAAAGAAAAAAAAACCCTCCTCTTGCCGTTTGACCTGCCGACAGTTCGCAGCGTTTCGGTGCTCCGCTCCCATTAACGCCGGAGCCAGGCTGCAGAGCTGGCCCCCGGGCCCTGCCAGGCGCCCTTCAGCTCCAGGCTGCCTCATGATCCATTTCTTTTTTCCGAAGCACAAAGCAGCATTTGCTGACTCGGAGCCCTGCGCGCGCCCTGCAAGCCGGAGCTGCAACCTGGGGCATGGCTCGCCGTGCAAACGGCCTGCTGCGAGCAGGCAGGGGTGCCCTGGGCTTTGGGGCCTCGCTTGAGGCTTCCTCGCTTGCAGCTCTGCCAGGTGAGGGGCCAGCGACGGCTGGGTTTCTCCAGTGGGCAGGCGCGTGCCCGGGGCAGGGGAGAAAGCAGCCTGCCCTGGTGGTGCCTGCAGCCCCTCCTCGTTCGAGCTCAGCTTCAGCCTTCACAGCCCACTAGACAAGACCAAGTCACGGCCCGAGCTGTGCCTTCTCCTGCAAGGAAGCCACACAGCATGCCAGCAAAATCCCAGGCCTGCGCGAGCTCTGAAGAAGAAAGCACTTCAGGTGCTTTTTTAATAATGTCCTCGGCCCTCCCTGCAGGGCAGGATTTGGCCTCCTCCAGCCCTAGCGGTTCTGAGCCACAGACCCAGTTTCCCTGCCCAAGCGGGTGACCTCGCTGACACCGAACAGAAGGGCCAGCTCGTGCCCCCAGCTCCATCGGGCTCCCACTTGTGGCAGGAGCTGCTTTGTCTTAGCCCAGATGTGTCCAGACCCTGTTACCTGCGTGGGATTTTTGCAGCGGGCACCATCCCCCTGCAGAGCTCGTCCCCAGGGGCTGAGTCCCAGACCACAAGACCACCAGTAAGCAAGGCCTTGAATGTTCACGCCTCTTTTGCCCCTGCAGAGCTCAGACGACTCCCATCTGTTTTGCTGAAACTAAGAACAGCAACCCCAATAAAACCCAAGGAGCATCTCCTGGTTGCAAAGTCGAGACAAAATTGTGGCCCTAAAGAATAAGTTATGATGGAGGTGACTGGCGAGCTTGGCAATGGAGCACTCCGGCAGCCCCGTGCTTCCAGTGACTGCGACATCTCTCCCAAGCCAGGGGCAGGAGGGGTCCCGCTTTCAACGATTTCATAGATTTTTTTTTTTTTTTTTTAGGGTTGGAAGAGACCCCAGTAGATCATCGAATCTGACCCCCTGCCCTGGGCAGGAAAGAGCGCTGGGGTCCAGTGAACACTGGGGTCAGATCTAGTCAGGGTATTTCTCATTACATGTTAATCTGTCCTCGCTAGCACCCCTCTGGCAGCACGGAAGTAAGACGTCGCCCTACACGGCCTTGTTCCTTGCTGCGTACGAGCGTGCAGGTCTGTCACGGGGTCACTTGTGAGTCTTGGGCCGCTGGTGTGCAAGCAGTTGTTCAGAGGAGAGGAGGAAGCAGTGGAGGAGCTGATGGAGGAGCTTTGTCTAGGTCTCAGCTTTCAACCCCTGGATTATTCTCCCCCATTTGGTTTCACCTTCCCAGCAGGAGACGGATGGAGTGACTGAGAGGGACACCCTCATCAGAGGCTTTGCTTTAATTAGCTTCTCATCCAAAGCCTTCCGCCCAGGAGTTTTCGATACCAGCCTCAAGCAGGCTGTGCTTGGCTCTTGCCATGCCACAGATGCAGGCTCTTAGCCAGCGTCACCTTGACTCCCTCCACCCGCATTGCCAAGCCAGTTGGTTTTTTAGCATCACTCCTTGAGCCGCCTGGGACTCGAGTAGCAGGTCTGGACTGCGGTGCTGTCAGAGGGCTCCCCGGCATGCAGCTTTGCAAGCCAGGATCGAAGTGCGTGTGCAGGGAGACGAGGCCGCACAGGATGCTCTTTGTACTTCAAAGGGCCGTCAGAAGGGATGCAGATGATAGAGGTGTCTACGGTGACAAAATGCTGGGAGCCATCGGTCACGTGCTTCCAGCATAGCTTTCGTGGCACGAGCGTGGTAACCCCCAGTGAAATGGAAAGGTAAAACATTAACAGATCAAAGCACTTTTCACACAACGCCCTGCGACTCTGGGGAATTCACAGCCCGAGACACCGCAGAGACAGAGAGAGAAGGATTAGACGCTCTCGGTAAGCAGCAACAGTTTAATCTGAGCACGCTCTGGTTCGGATGAAGCATTACAAAAGCCGTAACCCCTCGTGCTTCTGGACAGAGGGCACCTGCTGAGCGCCCGGGATTAGGAAGGAATTTCCTTCTTGGGCGTGTTAACTGCCTTGGCTTTAGGAAGATTTTGCACCTTGCTGCGATGGAGACTTGATACCGGTCATGTTCAGCAGACAGCCAGGATTTGGGAGCTGAGGGCTCCTAGCTGTTGGCATAACACCACAGACCAGTCCCGCAGGGACAGCTGCCCCCATCAGCTGGGCTCTAGCTAGGACCATAAATCTCTCCCTTGGCTTTGCAAAGTGTCACATGCCCAAAAGCAGAGCAAAGCCCTTGCCTGTCTGCCAGGATGTTTCATTTAATCGTGTTAGGGGTAGCAACAGCCTTCTCCGCTGGCACTGGTTACCGGAGCTCGCTGGCGAGGCGCAGGCTGGGAGGTCAGCTCCTCACCCTGTGTGGGTACCAGGCTCCCATGAATGCATCCCTGCTTCTCCAGTGACCTGCTAAAAACAAGACTGGGAGGTGTGAGCGGGTGGTTTTAGCTCTCTCGGGCTGGGCACCCAAAAGAAAGCAGTGCTGGTTGAACCCGCTCCGGCCCGTTAGAAACTCTTGCACCCCAGGCAGTTACCTGCTGGATGCCGCAGGTCTCTTCTGCCTCCATCAGTTGGTGGCCGGGTACCAGCTGCCATACGGGGACCGACGTTGCCATCTACTGGTCGAACTCCACCAGAACAGCTGTAGCTCGGTTGGATTCACGGTGTTCCTCTTTGAGACATCCCAAGTGCACCCAGCTCCTGTTCGGGGAGGAGGGGGGACCTGCCAATACTTACCTAGGCTACAACAGATATTGCATTTGCACCATTTTATCCCAAGATAAAGTACAGTCATCGAGACAGCTACGTCTGTTGTCCCAGGACAAGCCTTACAGGGGTGCACGGGATAAGAAGCATGAATGGTTTGTCCGGCAACATCGCGAAGTGGCATCTGTGTGGTTGTCCTGGGTTTGCATCATTGAATCAGTGGCAGAAATGTGGCAGTGCCTTCAGCCACTTGCTAAATCCTGATGGGACATGTCTGTCCAAGGACAAATACAGGCACAGCTGGCCCCGGGACACAGCGGTGTCTGTTCCTAGCCTTAGTTCTGTACACTTGATGTGGGAGGGTTATCAAAAAAGTGCAATCTCCGTGGGCCCAGTAGCAGCATCTGGTGTTTATAGTGCTTTTGATTGGTAACAGACTGGGTCTCTTCTCTCATCCCATGTTATCTGCGCCTCTCTTGGACCTGGAGCTGCAGGGAGGGCGTCAGGGGCTTGGAAGGCAAGGTCATGAAGCCTGCAGAAAATAACAAGCTCCTCCAGCCCTAAGGAGAGGTGATATCTGTGTGCCTGGTGGGGTGCTTTTCCATGGAAGGCCCCCATTTTCATTGCTGATTGCAACTGCCACAGACTTGTTCCTCCCCTGGGCTTTGTCTTCAATCATCTCCTCTCCCTTCTGGGCACTTTGCTCGTATGGCAGACCATGCGATGGGGCTGGGACATAGCCACTGTACTGCAGTGCACACAGCAGGCAGTTGCTTCAGCAGTGCAGGCAGCAGCTTCCCAGCTTCCACGGCTCTCCCTGCAGTGAGAGAGCACAGCGGGGTACCGCCCTGCTCCCACAAAGCAGCCGTAAAAGCTCTTGGGGTCCAGCTCTGGAGACCTCCTTCAGCAGCTGTGGTGCAGCCGCTTGGCTCACACGAGCAGTGCTGGGCAGCAACAATCCCACAGTGCTGGGAGCGCACAGTGGCTATTACGGCTCCGTTATCTCTTTCGGCGGTTCTCGCTGCTCGAGAGCGGCTGGGAATCCCTGGAGCAAGCGATGTGCATCTCATTCAAATGCATCTCTCTGTCTAAGCCCCGTTAAACCCGTCTCCAGTGATACAGTCTCCCAGCTGGCAGCCTAGCCCTCCAGCACCCATAGGAGGGCCTCGGAGGCTGTGGTTTGCCTTCTTTTGCTGCATGCGGCTCACAAGGCTCCCATCCGCAGCCTGTGTTTTTAGTGGCATGCAAGAAGAGTTCTCACTAGCTCGGACGAGTCTCCAGGGCTCTCTGCAGCGAGGGCAAGAAGCCGCAGATGGTGCCGGTGTTGCCTTTATTGGACAATTGGCCCTACAGCTAGAAAAGCCGCTGCGCTTTCTTTCCCGTCCGTCCCTTTCCAGTTCTGCTGTTGGCCCTGGTGTATCCCAGAGCTGGCCTTGACCACACAGGTCGCTCCCTGGGCGGGCGACGCTAAGAGGAGGGGTGGGGGCACACTGTTTTCTCTGGCTCCAGGCGACAGCTCTCCATGTTTGTCTTCTGTGCTATCTTTCCTCTTACACCTGTTTTTCTTGTCAAGCAATTCAAGAGATAAAAGGACCTGAAGCAGAATGATTTTACTGTCATTGGGGCTGTCAGCATGTTGCTGGCTTCTGCCTGTCGGCACCTGTCCCAGGGGAACCTTGGTCAGAGAGAGGACTTTGGGGGACCTTGCTGCCATCCTAGGCCTCATCTCCCCCTGTAACAGCAGCTAATCACCGCTCTTTGTTTGAAAGCCAAGCACCCAAACTCCTTCCTGTGGCCAATCCGTGCTGATTCGCCTGGTGTCTTGTCTTGTCTTGCTGCAGGCTGGTGGAGGAGTTCATGCTTCTGGCCAACATGGCGGTGGCCCATCAGATCTACCGCTCCTTCCCTGCCCAGGCCTTGCTGCGCCGCCACCCGCCACCCCAGACCAAGATGCTGAACGACCTCATGGAGTTCTGTGACCAGATGGGGCTGGGCATCGACTTCAGCAGCGCTGGGGCTTTGCACGTGAGCCGGGGGCCCAAGGGAAGGGGGTCGGTGCCTCGGGGAGCAAGTTTGCTCTCCTGGTGCTTTGCACGTGAGCCGGGGGCCCAAGGGAAGGGGGTCGGTGCTTCGGGGAGCAAATTTGCTCCCTCAGCTCTCAACATGGCCTGGCTGCAGTCTTGTCACACATGGTTACCTGCTCCCCATCCTCTGTGCCTTATGCCTGGCCTCCTGCAACATGCCGGACCGCAATGCAGCACCGAGGCAGGGAATGTGCTGTGCCCAGAGCCAGCCAAAGCTGGGACCAGGCTGCTTGGGAATGGGAGCTGCTAGACTGGTTGTGCTCTGGCTAAATTCATGAGTGCCAGCCCCGCAGAGCAGGTTGGCTTCTCCCTTCTCCCACGCCTGTAGAGAGAGCTGGGTGTTCCTCCGCAGCACGTGGCAATGGACTTCTGGCACTAAAAGCAAGAGGTGGGTTGGACTGTTAGGCCTTGGCTGTTAGCTCAAGCCATCCTCCCTGGGGATGGCAGCAGGCAGCTAAGAATGAGGAAGGGGGGAAGCAGCTGAGGTATGAATCCAGCTCTTTGTCTGCTGAACTGTGGAGGCAGGAGCTGGTTTGTCCCCACGTGTCCTGTCAGACAAGGACGGGCAGTCCAGCAGAGAGCTGGGGTGAAGTGCATGGCTTACAGGGGAGCTTAGTGGCTGGGCTGGACTCAGAAGCAGAGGGGTGTGACGAGCACAGGATCGTCAGGCAGAGCAGTCGCAGAACCCGGGAGAAAGGGGAAGCTCAGCTCCTTCCTGCCACGTCCCCAGGAGCACTGCCCACCTAGCAGATCTGCTCCTCAGTGCAAGAGATGATTGGTGCTGGTGCCCCAGCTCCGTCACCGACTGCCTGTGTGGGCTTGGGCAAGTCACTTACTGCTGTGCTTCAGTGAGGGGCTTGTCCCGGCAAATGCACTGAAGGAAGCAAAGTGCCCAGATGCCCTGTAACAGGGGGCAGACCAGTCCCCCAGGAAGCAGGCAGTATATGACTCCCCCTTTGGGACTGGGGCTGTGTGTAAGGCAAAGGACTCTCGGAGCCCAGTGTATTAATGCTGCTGTTAGCATGTCTTATTAAATCTGGGATTGTCCCACCCAAAGCAAAGGCCTGGGCAGAAGGTTAAACATGGACAAGTCCTGGAGGAAGGGGGAACAGGAGGGTCCTAAGAGAGACCTGGTGGTTATGGCCAAGCCTTGAACTGTTACAGCCTCTCTCACCAAGGAAGTGCTGCTTGCTGCTAGCCCCACATAGCAACCCCTTCAGACCGACGCATCCCTCAGGTGTCTGCTCTGAAAGCCAGCTGGTCCATTCAGGGACATCTGCCTGACTGAACAAGTTCAGAGGCTGAACAGGCAGCTGTCTGGGGTCATGTAGGAACATCCTGCTTTACGCCGGTCCCTTCCAGTCCTTTGTTTCTAAGTCACAAGGGCCCTGGCCTTCGATCTGCAGGCTGAGGGAAGGAGAGGAGGAAAGTATAGCGGTCCCCTGCACTCCAGAGACATCTCCTCGTGTCGCTGTGCTTCATGTGGCCTGCCCTCGGGAGCGATATGCAGAACAGCGTGTGGGCAGCGTGGGGCATCTCAGCCAGTGTCATCCTACTGGGCCCAGTCCAGCTGTCAGGGACCATGAGGAGCCCTGCTGTGGCCAGCCCGGCTGTGCTCGCAGAGGAGAACAGGGATTGAGAGAAGCATTTTAGCTGCATGCATCTCAGCCGTTGCAGCTAGCGGAGAGAGGATTTGTATTAAAGTGCCAACCTGTTCTGGGATCCCTCTGGCAATTTGACAGCAGCAGGTAGAAGAGTTTTCGGTTGTACCCACTCTCACCCCTGCAAGAGTTTCCAGCTCTCACCTGGTTTTTTCCACCCCCTTCTCTCCTCCCAGAAAAGCTTGAATGAAACGTTTGGTGCTGACAAATACTCAGAAGCCCGGAAGGCGGTGCTGACCAACATGTTCTCCAGGCCGATGCAGGTAAGAGCAGCGTGGGCGTGAAACACTTAGGATGGTTTCAGGCACTTCCCTGCCTACTGTGTTCACTGCCTGGACTGCCCCTCTCCTGACCCATCTCGGGGGTAGGTAGACAGATGCAGCCCCCGGCAAATCCCATAACCAGGACTAAGTTCCATAACCAGCAGGTCCACTCTGCTCTGGGCAATGAGGACTGCCCATGGGTGTTTATACTGTGGGCTGACCACTTGGGGAGCAAGGGAAGGTGCCTCTTTGACTTGCTCCTCAGAGCACGCAGCCAGGAGGCTTATCGCTGCGAGAGGTCACTTTGGGATCTTTCCCCTGGAAGGGCTTTGTTCCCAAAGGGCTGGTCTCACTGCTCAAGTGCAATAACTGTTCATGCAAGACCCCGCTCCCATTGACTTTGGGCGATGTGGGTCGGGTCTTGGCAGTCTTTGCATAACACCTCATGCTGTGGTATCCTAAAATAGCCTCCTTTCTCAAGCAAGTCAGACGTGGGGCTGGCATCAGGGGGATGGAGCCAGGCACTGGTGGGAACCGAATCTGGGTCCAGCTCTATGAGGGCGGTTGGGTCCACCATGAGATGCCCAGAAGTAAACAGGGTTCTACATCCAACCCCAGCAGTCACATTGATCAGAGCGGCCCAGGTCTTTCTGGCCCACAGAGACCCTCTTGCCTCTAGGGAGGGTCTGTCTCGATCCTTCCTTCCCTTTGAGGCATGTGGCATGATGGAAGTTTGTTGCACCACTGCGCCTTGCTGCTGGTCTTGTGCGTCTTGGAGGCTGCGGCCCCAGGGGAGCTGGGGGAACGTACCTGCAATGGCCTCCGTCCTGCTGGCTGCTCCTTGCTGCAGAGATGAATCATCTCCCTGACATCATGTGTTTGACGGGTGCCCTTCTAATTAGCCAGTTTGCTCCGTTCACTCATTAGCCATTGCCTGAAGTCCTGCTGCACTTTAGTGGCACATAAGGCTTGTTTGCAAATGGAGCTGAGGAAGCTCAGATGGTGTTGAGCACACGTCGGTTGGTAATTGCACGCACACGTGTTCTACTCATTCGTACAGTTAAATGCTGCTAAGTTTCCCCCCTCCCTGGCTCAGGGTGCATGTCACATGTCTAGGTAATGATCCTTTGTCTGGCTTGGCCTTGTCATGGTCTCTCCTTATCCAAGAAGCAAGTGACCTCCTTCCCTGTTACTGTCAAGTGCAGCCTCACAGCAGGATCCCGTGTAACGTGATCTGCCCCAGGATGGTGGTTTGGGTGCGCAGTGGCACCCACATCATCTCCCCAGGATAAGTCAACCCGACTCCTGTGGTATCAGGTGGTCAGGCAGGAGGAGACCGGCCCTGTGGGCACAGCCCAGAATGGACTGGGAAGATTCATCTGACCCAAGGGCTTGTGCCATAAGCCATGCTGTGGGGTAGTGGTGGCCTGCTGGACCAGGAGATGGGAGGGTGCTCTGAGCCCCTCTCCCTGTGCTCCTCCCCTCCCAGGACCCCAGGATGACTCGCCTGCCACGTGCATTTGCAGCAGCTGACCACGAAGGACCTGCCTGCTGTCAGGGGAAATGCTGATCCAGTAGTTCCTCACTGAGACACCCAGGAGAATTAGGACCACCAAAGCAGCCCTGTCAGAGACCTGCATGCCTTGAGGGGGCAGGGATAGAAGGGCCATTCCAAAGACCACCTGAGCTGAGTGGGTGTATTTGAGGGTTGATTTGCTTTCCAGCTGCTTTTTGCTGCCATCCCGTAATGGGAACGTGGCCATCTTTCCCCTGTGGCAGTGGTAATGCATACAGGGCAAGCCCAGTGGTTGCAAAGGAGAGGCGGGCAAAGCAGTGGTCAGAGGTTCTGCCTTGCAGCAGTCCGGTTGGGCCCTGCAGGCTGTTGTCAGGGCAGGGGCCAGGGTCTGCTGTAAACACCTTCCAGTACCGTGCAGAAAAGGAGTCAGGATTTAGGATTGTGGTTGCCAAGAAAAGGCCCAGGTCCATTCTCCGGCCCCCCACCCTGTCAGCATGTCCCCTGGTCTGATGTGACAGTTCAGAGTGTGGTCATTGTGCTTCACGCCAGCTCTTCCATCTGGAAAGACCAGGGAAGAAAAGAGCCTCGATACCCACAGGTGCCAGGAGATCCAAGTGAGGTTGCATGTGGAAAAGTGCTCTTGCACTCAGCGTGCCCGTGATTTCAGCTGGATGCTAGACTCTCTTCAGCACATCTGCTCTCAGCACATATTTGGATCTGCTCTCAGCACATATTTGGATCTGCTCTCAGCACATATTTGGGGGCACCTTGCAGATGTAACAGGTAAACACAAACATGACCGGACTTTCAGCACAGCTGAGTCCCATGACTCTGGGCAAGAAACTGTCCTGGCTTGCAACATTGCTAGATGCCGTGGTGCTCGCACTCCGCAATGTTTGCTCTCAGTGCTGCTGTGTGAGCCAGAGAGAGCCCAGGAGCCATCTAGAGTCCAGCATCCGAGAGGACTTACCAGGGTGGGCTGTCAGCAGAGCCATCCTTTAACTCAGTATGGTTGTGCCAAGGCCCCACCAGCAGGGATCAGCTGTGAGGATGACAGGCCACAAGGGTCCTGGCTAGGCTGGAGGTGGATCTGCTGCCAGGCGTCTGGATGAACAATGTCTGCATCCACTGGAGCTTCTCCTTCTCTGGGTTCTCCCTGGGAACAGATGCTCCCACCTACGCCCGTGTCACCACCCGCCTCTGGAAATGAGCTTGGGGCCCTGCCAGTTCCTAGCTCAGTAAATGGCAGCGAAGGCACCGCCAGCCCTGCTTTCCCATGGGAAGCCTGTGCCTCCTGGACTAGGGTTCACGCTGACGCATTGCAAAGGGTTCTTGTGAGCATAAAGAGGGGTTGAAGTTCAGGGGTGCCCCTGCTGTACTCCCAGCCCCTCTGACACGTACATGCAGCTATTGACATCATGGCCAAGCCTGAAACAGCCTTTTTCTCTCCAACCAAAAGCTCAGTGGGTATCACAGGAGCAGGCAAAGGTAGAGAAGGGGTCATTTCACCACCGCAGCCAAGCTCCATTCGCAGCAGGCTGATGTGCATCAGGGAGCTTGTTGCAGGTCCCTTCTCCTGTCCTTGCTGTCCATGCAAGCTGCTGGGGAGCTGTGCTAACTTCCACCCCGTTCCCTCAGTAGTTTGCCCCAGTGGGCAGGCATAGCTGGATTCTGGCTTCCTACCCCAGAGGGCGGCATGAGCCACCAGGCAGTGAAAAAACCTCCCGCACACGGGGACCTGTCCCCGTCTCCAGTCTCAGAACAGCTCCAGCAGATTGGAGGCTTCGGCCCAGGGGAGGCCTCCACCCTCTCCCACCTGCTGCTGCAGCCAGCATCCCCCGTCCTCGCCATCCTCTGTCCTCCCAATGCAAGGAGGGAAGCACGGGTTGCATGGCAGAAAGTTGGTTCTTCCCGTGCCAGCAGCATCTCTTCCGGCAGCTGCTGAACAAAGCCACGTACAGGCCACGGGACCTGCATTGGCAGTGGGGGCAGGGGCTGTCACTGATTTACGGCGAGCAGCCCCGTTAGTGCCAGGCACTCGGGACCAACCTGCCTCAAGTTGTGCTTCGCAGCTGTCCGTGCCGAGGTCCGTCATCTGGGGATGAGGCCACTGGTAATTTGGTTGTTAATTAAACCACAGCCATGCCAGGCCTCGCACAGTCTGAGCCCCATTGGTCAAGATGAAAATCTCTCGGGTGAGGCGGGAGTCAGGACACAGCTCGTGCCGTGTGTCAGCAGGGGCGCCCGGATCCCACCGCCAGCCGCCGCGTGACAGATGCAGGAGCAGTGACGCTCCATTTTTCAGGGGCTCAGTCACTCAGGGATTCAATCTGTCCTCAAGAGCAAAGCAGCCCCCGGTTGGCCACGGCTCATTTATTTTTCAACTCCTTGCGGTTCTTCTGGGGAGTGGAGCGGTCGGGGCCCGCGTTTTTGAGAGCGCTTGTCACCGGAGTCTGCTAATGAGGAAACATCTGCTTGCTGCCAGGCCGCTGTCGCTCTGAACCGGCTGAGGGTTGCAGCTTGAAGCTGCCCTCGCTGCATCGCGGGGCCTTGGAGGAACCAGCTGCCCATGTCGCGGCTTTGCTGAGGGTCCCCCTGGCCCACGCAGCCCTTTTGTGGGGGGGTGGAGAAAGCATTTGCAACCTGCTTCCCCCACTCCCTTGCAGCTCCAGGGGCAGGCTGGGAAATCCCCAAGCTGCAATTGGGCTGAGGATCCCTCCCTCCACTGAGCCTGGGCAGGCTCAGAGCCAGCATGCACCACCCTATGCCCACGCCAGGCCCGCGCACCCCGCCCCGGGAACAGCGTGCATCTTCCGCGCGGCCCAGGAGAGTTAAGCAAGCGGAAGAGACTCTTGTCTAGTGCATCAGAAGGAATTGAGCCCCGGGTCGTGGAAGTTGGCAGCCACCAGAGCTCTTCTCCCAGCTTGTGGGTCTCATAAAAAGGCAAGGGCCACGCTGCTTTTTTTTAACCCGCTCTGTTGACTTGCCCGGAGCAGTGCAGCACGGCTCCATGAGAGCTGGCACGGATGCTGGGAAGGGGAGCTGGTGGAGGCAGCTGCCTGAACCACAGTTCCCAGAGCAGCTCGGTAACCGGAGCAGGCAACTCCTGCTGTTGCATCTCTCCCCATTGCTCTTAAACAGGTTCATTCAGCCACCATGACCCTGCCACAGCCTCCCTGCTCCAACCACCTTCTTCACAGTCTCTGCCTGCCTCGCTTCTCCGCCCCAAGGGCCGGCATTTCACAGACATGAACATAAAAGCAGGAGCGTGTGTCATAATGGGCACGGCTGAGCGAGATTCCCGTTGCGAGGGCAGCTGGGAACTGCGGGGCAGCTGCCGCTCACCTGCTGACTCAGCCGCGCTCCAGCAGGTCAGCGCTGGGCTCTGCTCACGACACCCAGCAATTGCCCCTGCACCAGTTTTGAAGCACCAAGCCTCAGCTTCCCAGGCCCTGATTCTCCTGGGAGCCCTCCTGAGACCCGCCGCTCTGCGCATGTCCCATGTGGACGCTGCCTAAGAGGCCTTCTGGCCTGTCGAGTCCTGGTGCAGGTTTGAACAGGCTGCTGACTGCAAAGGGAGCGGACAGAGGCCACTAGCGCCCCTGCGGGATGCAGCTTGAGGCCTCATCAACCTCCAGCATGGGCAAGGGGCATGCAGGTAGACAATGGCATTCACCTGGGTAGCGCTGCCAACCCACCAGCGTGACCCAGGGGCTGGTCAGCATGAGGGCGTCATTGCTGCGCTCAGCCTGCTGTGCCGTGGGCTCTGCCCATCACGTGCTGGCTCCGCAGCAGGGTGAGGGGCTGCAGGGCCCTTCACATTAGGTGGAGACCGAGCGTTGTTGCCACCTGACAGCTGTGTGGGTGCGTAGGCCTCGAGTTGGCAACGGCAGTGTCCAAGGACTGAACTTACCGGGAAGGCTGAGCCCATCCCACCCCCAGAAATGCTCCCACCAAGTGAATGCCAAAGGGCTTTGGCAGGGAAGCCCGAGCTGCCGCTGGCTGTGCTACCTCTGCCCTGTGGCATTGCGGGCTGCTGCCTTCCAGTGCTAGGTTCAAAGTCCACCCCTGCCAGGGCGCTGGGCACCCTGCATGCACCTCTCCTCCTCCCCCAGGGCCGGGATTCCTGGAGTCTGTGGGTTGTGTTTGCTGGCCAGTTCCTCGGAGTAGGTGTTCAGAGTCCTTCAGGCCAGGAACCACAGAGCAAGGCCATATCCTGATGGGCCTGGAGCTGAGCAAGGGGCCTCGCAGAGGCTCACACTCATGGCACCATCTCTTTGTTCCCCTCTGGGGTTCATTCAGTGTTGAAGTGCTGCACAGGGCAGGCACCGTCCAAGCGGAGCTGGTGCCGGGGCATCGGGCCACCAGCACGGCCACTGCCAGAAACCGCTTATCAAGCTGGGGGTGATTTATAACAGCCCTGCCCTTGCAGCTGCATGGATACTGCCAAGCGGAGCCCATTCCCAGCTCACAATACCAATTAATCCCCATGGCCGTGCTGCGGCAGGAAGGAGGATGGCGTTCTGCTGTCCATCTCCCGGAGGAAAGGAGAAAGCTGTGGTGCCTGGCCTCTGGCAACATAGCCATAGCGAAAATCCCCTGGCAAGAGAGCAGCCTTCACAAGCCTGTGATGTGCAGGTGCATCTGGAAATCCATCACGGCAGCCCCTACCGGTTGTGGGACCCTAATGCTGATCTGTTCCCTGAAGGCCTTCCTCTGCCATCAGGCACGGGCGTGGAAGCAGCCTTTGCCTGGCTGGTTGGTCACGTCCAGGGACTTGGTTAATACAGCACAAAGCGCTCCGGTGAAGGCGGTACGAGCCCAGGCCCTCTGAGGCAAGCTTGCCTTTGGAGGCCTGGTGCAGACGAGGGGCCGAGCGATGCGCGATGTGCACAAACAGGGTGGCGGGGGGGTCATTTTGAATCATCTTGTTGGTGGCTGCATCTCTCCCATTTCCTGGGGTGCAGGAAGGATTATTCCCCCCTGCCTGGATGTTTTGTGTGCCTGGTTTGCATGCTGACTGCCCCGTCCCTGCCTCATTCGACCCCCATGGCATCCTCATCACCCGTTTACATCAGCGTGCTGGGGGCGCCGTCACCGTCCTGCCGCTCGTGCCTTCTTTCAGCCCAAGTCAGCCACCTGCTCGGCATCTGTGGGGGATCCACAGTCGAGAAGTGGGTGCGTGTGCCACAGCCAGCCTGCTGGCACGGACAGGGCGTGGGGTGTCACCACAGCTCCGCCAGTGCCACGCTGGCAGCTTGGCCCCAGGGCAATAGGCTGGTTCTCTTCCCCCTGCAAAGACTTGGACCCATTTCAAGTGTCTGAGTGCGAGGCCCCACATGGCCCCACTGGGAGTCCTCCAAGCAAAAGAGAAGCAAGCCGTAGGATCCTGCCCCCAGGTCCGGGGTCAGGCTTTTCCTTGCCGGGCAGAGCGGGCTTAGGGGTTTAGCGCCAGGGTGGGGAGCAGGCAGCTGGGCTGTGGCAGAGAACAACCATACTGGTAGCAGCAGGGAAAG